CAAAACTCGCACTTACTGAACTTAGTATATAACTGGTACTCCCGCAAAGTCTACAATGCTAATCAAAGATGTTGCTCATGCTCGGCCTCCGATCTCGAATAAATGAGGATGTCGTCAATAAACACGATCACGAACTGGTCCAAGTATGGAAGAAAAACCCGGTTCATCAAATCTATGAATACCACGGGTGCATTGGTTAGCCCAAATGGCATGACATGAAACTCAAAAGACCCTTATCGAATCAGAAAGGCGGTCTTAGGAATATCCATCTCCTAAACCCGCAACTGATGATAACTAGAACGAAGATCAATCTTTGAGAAACACTGCGCTCATTATAACTGGTCGAATAAGTCATCAATCCTCGATAGTGAATACCTATTCCAGATGGTGACCTTATTCAACTTGCGATAATCTATACACAAACGCATACTACCGTCCTTCTTCTTCATGAAGAGGACTGGTGCTCCCCATGGATAATGACTCTGATGAATAAATCCCTAAGATAAAAGCTCATCTAACTGAATCTGTACCTCCTTCATCTCAGCAGACGTCATATGATAAGGTGCTAGGGATATCGGTGTTGTGCTCGGCTGTAACTCGAATAAGTCATCGAACTCGGGCATACGTAGGACGATCAAATTGACCATGAGCTTAGACTCATCTAAGCAGATATTGCATCTCCTACAAATGCTCTCTAAATGTGACACATCACCTAGAGGGGTGAAAACTGACAAAGGAACATCTAGAGGTTGTGCTACAAGCTGAAGTCTAGTCATAAAATCATAGGAGATGAAAGAATGTGAAGCTCCTGAATTGAAAAAAATACGGGCTGGGAAGGAGTTCACAAGGAACGTACTTTCCACAATGGCCCTACTCACACATGATAAAGCGGTATGACTGCATAAACTCTGCCTAAAGCTGGGGTCTGCTATGCCAAAGTGTCTGGAATGTATAGGACTTTCTGTCCCTGCGGTACCTCCTGAATAGCTCGTACCTACCCCCTCAATCCTCGAAACTGCTGGCGGTGTCCCAAGCCTCAACTGCTAGCCCTAACCTCGGCTCTGTCCATGGTTCTGCTGCTACTGACCCTGATTCTTTCCCTGCTGGCCTCTTGCTAGTATGTTATGGCACTCTGCTGCTCTGTGACCGATCTTGTGGAAGTTATAACAAGCACCCTTGAATATATGCTGCTGCTGAGATGCTCTCTGATCATGTTGAGGTTTCTTTTTATGTGGGCCTTGCTGCTGCGAACCCTTACCCTACTGCTGCGGTCTTCCAGGTCCTGAAATGGCCTCTTGTTCTTGCTCTTATCTCCAGACCGTTCTGTTTTAAGGCTCCCTTCTTGTTTTGCGGCTCTAACAATAGTTAGTATTGGCGAAACTCCTGATGTTGCCTCTGTAATAGGCACAACTAGCACGGGTGGTGGTAGAACCATACAAGATGGTGTTGCTGGTGAAATTTGATTTACTATTTGCTCCGCTATCGCTGCCAATTTGGCTACAAGTAATGCTATAAGATCGATCAGATACTGTGGACCCTGCTACGACTCGGGCTCTAGATCATCTTGCCCAGCTCATATTGGTATCTATAATTTCAAGAGAAGACCTTATAAGACACAGTAAATGAGATCTCAAGCATAAATAGCATAACATAACAATAGGAAAATCGTATCACATATCATTCACGCAAATACTTTTCAATTCAAAGCAAGATAGTTATAAAAAAATTCATAATTTTTTCATGTTATATATATATAACGTCCTCACTCATTCTAGGAATTCCTAACAGACTCTATACATGATTCTTTGGAAACTCTATCCTAGCTCCACTACTCGACACAGAAATGATCCTAAGGATGCTGGAACTAGAGCTCTGATACCAACTATGACGCCCCTGGTTTCGCACAAGGCTACATTCCAAGGTGAACCTAAGGATGTCAAACCTGTCATGCACCCACACTGTGTAATAACACGTTTCACCATTACAGTAATATCTCTCTAGTGGAATCAAATAACAGGTCTAGGTACAAAACATGCAAATGAAGGTAATAATGTAATGAACATGATATATAAAGAAGAGATATCTAGAAATAATTAATAATCATGTTCCCAACTGAAATAAATAAAATACAATTGATACTGGAATAAATATAAAATGTCTCAATGCATAGAGTTAATGAAAATGATACTAAGGTAGTCTGCCTTTCCAAAAATATAATACAACTCCAAATGTTTAAAAATAAATAATAAACTACTGTGGAGCATAAATAACTATTAATGTAAATAAAGAAGGAGACTAAGCAGAAACTCTATCAACCTGCGACTCTCAGTGCGTCTGACTCACTGCCTGAAAAGAGGGGAAATAACGAGCGTCAAAGCGCTAGCGAGATCATATCCACCGCCCCCAGAGGGAGGGAGTTAGGCGTATATATGAAAATAAGTTAGTACATATAAATATAAAATCATCTATCCGGAACTTAAAGGAGATTGAGATTTATAAACTCACAACAAGAGAATTAGTACGTCAAGCGAAATAATCCAAACAAGGAAACCCTCATATATATACCATGTCTCAAATTGTTAATCACTAAAGCCCAACTCCAAAGTCTTAGGAATGAAACAATAAATAAAAGAAACACAAGTCCAGACCTCAACAATACAAGTCACATCAAATCCTCATACTACATTCGGGTAGTTGGCGCAATCATAAAGAATATTATCCAATACATTCATCTCACATAGAATAGGCTATGTATGACGACCTCAGTATATACCCTACTCTCGGGTAACTAACAGAATAGGCTATGTATGACGACCTCAGTATATACCCTACTCTTAGGTAACTAACAGAGAATCATAAATGAAATATGTGTAGTTCTCTCACTAAAAGAAATCTGATATTTAACGACCAAAATTAGTGAAGGGACCAGTTGACCGTCATTAATGTGCATGTAATAACGACGGGTTTTATAACCTTCATCGAGTGATTACAAATATTAATAGAATGATGTGAGATGGGATAACGGTTTTCTAATCCCTTTATTAATTTAATCCTAATACCGTCGTTATTGGGTCTCCTGAAAAACGAAGGGTTCCATCACCATCATTGATGATACTCCTAATCATAATAGGAATGATAGTTAAACCTATTACTATTAATTAACAATACCCACAATTAAAATCCCCAAACCCGAAACCCGAATTCTCCCCAACTTCTGATTAATCATCCTCTCAGCCGCCATATATGGCAGCCATGTTTACTTTAATTGCACAAAAGGACCTATACTTTCACCTTAATTATATTTACACACCCTTCTTTGCACTTATGTCATAAAGGACCTATAGTTTCACAGAATATTTTGTTTGTTCACTGCACTCAAACAAAATATTTAATTTTCTAAAAAATCATAGTAAAACAGAAGAAAATTTAAAACTGCAGATGAATTGTTCCTATAGATACATGATTTAGAGCATTTTCATCAATGGATGCAAAGTGTTATCTATTTCTAAAATAAATACTAGTTATTGATATGATTGTGAGGGTATTTTTAGAAATATTAGGGATTCTTGTTTGGTTTAATTTGCACTCAAACAGTGTGGGGTCAGTAGCAAAGGAATCTTTCAATGTTTTCTATTCCTCCCATCTGAAAAAGTTTGATGTCACCATGGAGATAGATGAAGGCTTGTCCATACTCTTCTGTAATAGTTTTATGGTATAATCTCAACTTTATTTCAGAATAAATATATAAATTGCAGTCTCAGAATACTGTAATAGTTTTATGGTATAATCTCAACTTTATTTCAGAATAAATATATAAATTGCAGTCTCAGAATATGCTGTTACGCTAGATCCAGTAGTGTAGGTTCATCAGAAAGTTTCCAATTGTTGGAGTCCATTTTCTGGAGAGATGGAGACTGGTCATTGAAGGTCCTTACATGCTGGAGATAATAAAGACATTGGAAACCACCTCTGGGGAAATTTCCATAATTATCACTAGTTAGGAAACATATGTTATATTTCATATGATAAAGACATTGATTTACTCATGCAAACAAAAGATTTAGGATAGTAAATTTTATTTTTCTCTGTTACATAAGTGGTTCTTTAGTTAAGTAATAGTGTCGTCAAACAAGTTGTGTATAAGCCATACTTAAGACTTTGGATCACTCATTGTCCAACCCATTCCTTTGACCAAAGCCAGGCCTCAGTGACTACTAGGATGCGGTGAATTATTCAGATTATGTATGCATATTGCTTAACTATAGTTATCGTTCATTGCTGGTGATTGCTGTTGTTTTGGCCTTTTCCGTGTTCTACTCTAATAGTGTCACTTATATTTGCACATTGCTTTTTTCCTCCGCTGTAAGCTACTCATCAGTTGGCCACAGGTCTTTTCAGAGCGTGGATCCTAAGCCAGTCAGTGTGGGCTCCAATTGAAGGAATCTTTCCATTTTTAGAAATATTAGGGATTCTTGTTTGGTTTAATTTGCACTCAAACACTGTTTTGTTTAATTGCACTCAATTACCTACAGTTTCCCCTACTTTGCACTTTGCCTTAAAGTACCATATACATGTTGCAATTATATACCCTATACATGTGTGGTATTTACTTTAAGTAAAATGAATTTCAAATGATTATTTCTTTAGCTATTCAGACGTACTTGTCAAGCTTGGACATACCACTTTCCATTAACAAGTTATTTTGTTAGTTATAATCATAGTTCCTATGTCACATGTGCTTTGAAAGGAAAATGCGTTTTTTTTTACTAATTTGTTCTATTTACTAATTTGTTATATGGTAGTATTTTTTCCTTTAAATTGACCCTATAATTGCATAAATAAATACTTTCTGAATGACACCATATATAGGTTAACTTCTTTGCATTAGAATGACCATATATCTGAACATATGAGTCTCTACATAAAATTAAGCATTTATTTGTGTTTAGTTTTTGAAGTGGTTGAAATATTTTTCAGGAAATTTTCGTACATAGCTTGAAATGGCGCCGAGTAAAGATTGGATGGACCTAGTAGATGATGATAGACTTGATCCAAAATGTAAAGAAGGGGTAGATCAGTTTTTAGACTATGCATATGAGAAGCTGTTGGATAGTTTTAATGAAAATGATGAAGACTTTGAAATTCGATGTCCATGTATTAAATGCAACAATGTGAAGTCTGGTAATCGTGAGTCGGTAAGGACCCACTTGATTGTTCATGGAATTATTAAAAACTACAGATTTTGGTGTCATCACGGCGAAAGACAGGGTGAGTCCATTTCGGAGTTTGATGAAGAACAAGAAGAAATGACAGAAGAAAGCCAGAGTGACGATGAAATGCAAGAAATGATTGGAGATTTATTTCATAATTCAACTGGCGTTGTTGCACCTAATGCCACGTCGAGTCAGGATATTCTTGAGCAGGAACCAGATGGACATGCAAAACAATTCTACAGTCTTTTAGGTGACTCCAAGAAACCTTTGTATGAAGGCTCTAAATGTTCAAAGTTATCTGCTTTAGTGAAACTACTTCACATAAAGAGCCTAAATAGGTGGAGTAATAAATCATTCTCAATGTTGCTCCAGTTTTTGAATGAGGAGCTATTGCCAGGGGAATCAACACTGCCTAATTCATATGACGAGGCCAAAAAATTAATCCGAGACCTTGGCCTATCATATGAAAAAATTGATTCGTGTCCATTCTCTTGCATGCTGTTTTGGAAAAATGAAGAAGGTCTTGATACGTGTCAGAGATGTGGTGCTTCTAGATGGAAACTTGATAAACATGGAAAAGAGATCAAGCGAAAGGCAAATGGTAAAAAAATACCACAAAAGACATTGCGATATTTTCCTCTTAAGCCACGATTGCAAAGGCTTTACATGTCTTCGAAGACAGCTTCTGATATGAGATGGCACCATGAAAGACAAGTTGAGGACGGAGTGATGAGGCATCCAGCTGACTCTAAGGCTTGGAAAAACTTTAATGAGCTACATGAAAGCTTTGCCGAAGAGCCCCGAAATGTTAGGCTCGGTCTTGCAAGTGATGGTTTCCAGCCTTTCACAAATTCAAAAGTTTCTTATAGCATATGGCCCGTTTTACTTGTACCATATAACTTACCACCATGGATGTGCATGAAGCAATCTAATTTTATTTTATCTATGCTCATTCCTGGTCCAACTGGTCCTGGAGATGCTATTGACACCTACTTACAACCATTGATAGAAGAACTAAAGGAGTTGTGGGCCTCAGGCGTTCGAACATATGATGTATCTCTGAGACAGAATTTCATTTTACGTGCAGCACTAATTTGGACTATTAATGATTTTCCTGCTTATGCAAATTTATCTGGATGGAGCACTAAGGGGAAATTAGCATGTCCTTGTTGTAATAAGCACACTCACTCTATCAGGTTAAAATATGGAGGCAAGCAGAGCTATATGGGGCATCGTCGCTATCTTGATGAAAATCACAGTTGGAGAAAGGATAAGAAATCATTTGATGGCACTAGGGAGAGAGGTTATGCAGCGCCGAAGCTGACAGGAGATGACATCCTTAAGCAGGTGGAAGATCTTATAGGGATCACCTTGACCAATCATCCAGATAAGAAAATTAAAATATCACACGAAAGACGGGGAGATAATTGGAATAAAAAAAGTTTTTTTTTTTGATTTGCCATATTGGAGAACTCTCTTATTGTGACATAATTTAGATGTCATGCATATTGAGAAGAATATTTGTGATAGTCTGCTGGGAACAATCATGAACATTAAAGGAAAGACAAAGGATAATATCAAAGCCCGTCTCGATTTACAACTATCTGGTTTAAAACCGGAGTTACATCCAATCCAGAGAGGAGATAAACTTGTGATGCCAGCAGCTTGTTATACTTTATCCCAAGAAGAGCAAAGCAAATTTTGTCGATTTCTAAAGGAGTTAAAAGTTCCAGATGGATTTTCATCCAATATTTCTCAATGTGTAAATCTTAAAGAGCGTAAGATTTTGGGGTTAAAGAGTCATGATTGTCACATTCTTTCGCAGCGCTTGATTCCTGTATCGATTCGTGGCCTTCTTCCTGCAAAAGTGTGTGAACCAATTATTGAACTTTCCATATTCTTCACTATATTATGTGCCAAGACATTAAGGGTGGATGAACTTAAGCAAATTGATGAGCAGATTCCACTTACGTTATGTAAGCTTGAGAAGATTTTTCCACCTTCAATTTTTGATGTTATGCTGCATTTAGTAGTTCATTTAGCATCTGAAGCCATACTTGGAGGGCCTGTTCGATTTCGATGGATGTACCTAGTGGAGCGTCAGCTTTATACTTATAAGTCATATATCAGAAATAGGGTATGTCCAGAAGGGTCAATTGCTAAAGGATATATAGCAGATGAATGCATGACACTTTGCTCAAGGTATCTAAAAGGCTTCGAGACAAAGTTTAATCGCCTTGAAAGAAATTATGAAGATGACAATAGAGAATGTCATGAAGCACATCTATCTATATTCAGACATAGTGGGAGGGCATTGGGTGCTGCCACCACCCGCTACCTTGATGAACGTGAGTGGTTGCAAGCTCATATTTATGTTCTAAAGAACTGTGATGAAGTGCAACCACACATTGAGTAAGTCACTAAAGTTTAAGATTCTACTAATAAATTTACTATAGTTAGTCAACGTTAATCATATTTATGATATTTTAATGTAGGGACTACAATGAATTCGTGAGAGAACCCACAAATCACTATGATGATAAAGATTGGGATAAGAACTTTATTGAGTGGTTCCAATCTCTAGTACGTACATATCTTGCCTTATTTTTTTAATATCTTGATTGGTTCATTTTATTACATGTTCCATGACTTGATCATATTTTGGTTTTGTTTAGGTTTATCAGAGTTATCGAGAAGATGATGACTTACTTTCATTATCTCTTGGTCCAAGTAAGATTGTTAAATGTTTTACTGGACTTGTCATAAATGGACATCGGTTTCATACCGAAATTTGAGATAATTGTTTGTCAACTCAAAATTGCGGGGTTGCAGTTGTTGGTGATGCTGGTAATGGTGGAGATATAGATTATTATGGTGCTTTGGTTGAAGTTGTCGAATTAGAGTATCTTGGTGGAAGAAATGTTGTTCTATTTCGTTGTAAGTGGTGGGATGTGCATGGCAAAGGAAAAGAGACAGCTTTGAAAGAAGACAAATATGGATTTATTAGTATTAACTGCCGACACTTGCTAAAAACGAATGACCACTTTATACTTGCTGGCCAAGCATCACAAGTTTTTTATGTTGAGGATATTGCCAATGAAGGTTGGCATGTAGTTCTTAAAGCACAACCCCGTGATTCATATGATATGCCACCAGATACAGATGATTATGAGATAACAGACGATGGAGTTGAAGCTTATTTGCAAGATGAATCATTTGATGCTCAGGCTATTACATACACATCATTGGTAGATGATGATATCAATTTGAGAAGGGGCGATATTGATCCAATTATTGTAAATTCGGTCTAAACTTCAAAAAAGAGGAAAAAGACTCAAGTAGAGGATTAAAACGCTTTCATTAAAGAATGACACTCAAAACTCAAGTAGAGGATTAAAACGCTTTCATTAAAGAATGACACTCAAATGATATTGTGTTATTGAGATAAATTTTAAGTTGTATCTTACTATGTATCTTACTATAACTATTCTTTTTTTAGACATATGATGTTTCTTTTCTTCCTATTTTGAATTTGGCTTCGACATTGCAGCAAGTGCTTCTACAATAGTGCACTATGTATTTATTGTTATGCTTGTCCTTCGTGATATCTTCTTCTTTTATTCATTTCTCTTTTGATATTTGTTTCATACATAGTGTGTAATACTTAAATTCCTTTTCATAGCAGGAAAATGAAAACTCAAGAAGTCACTTCCAAAAGCAAAAGGGCACAATTTCTATAGGAAGCGACTTCAAGCAATTGCAGAAAATTCATTAAGAAGGGAACAACTCCGTACTTGTCATGACATGAACTTGAATATTCAAAATCCAATACAAGATCAAAATATGGATGCAAATTTTAGCGCTGATTCAGAAAACTTTGAAGAGGAGAATTTTGCACAAAATCGCAGGAGAAGTGCAAATACTAACAATGAAGAGAATGATGATTCTGCAGGTTGATGAGACTTAAAATTTATTATTATTTTTTTTTATCTTTCAATTTATTTTTTATGATTGGATTAATAATTGCTTAATTTTTGCAGAATCAGATAATCATCGAGTGCAAAGTGATGATGCAATACTAAATGAATCTCGACAAGAAGGTATATTCTTTATTAATTACAAGAAGAAATATTTTTATCAATTTCTTTAACTATATCTTGTTTCTAACATATGATATGATGTATGCAGCTGATAATTCTCAAAGGAAGAAAAATCCACCTCGTGGTAGTAATAAGTGTCTAAAGTTGAATAATTTGTCACATGGGGAGAAAAAAATCATTACTTTTTATCAGAATAGAGCTATTGAACCAGAATTTTCACGATATCTTGGAATTATTATTTGAGACAGAAATATTTGCCCAGTAGCTGTTGAGAATTGGGCCAAAATACTACAACAAAATAAAGATCATATGTGGGCATCCATTAAGGTACATTGAAAATTAATTTTTTACAATTGGTTTTTAATTCTTATAAATTAAATTTTGATTCAAATTTGATATAGGATAAATTTGATGCTGATGACATGGAGCAAAAGAGAGAGTCAGTAATGAGACACTTGCGCGATTTGTGGAATAAGTGGCGTGGTGACATGCACAGGAAATATGTGAAAGAAAATTCATTGCAAGTTGCACTTAGAAATAAACCTACAGAAGTGAGTGTTGATGACTGGGATTGGCTAGTTAAGGAACATTATTTTTCTTCAAAATTCCAGGTATTAATCTCCTAATTTTATTAATTAATTTCTTTCATGTATATTGTTGGATTGTTAAAATTATCTTTTAATCTTGATGTATAGAAAGCAAGCCAACAAAATACACTTAACAGAGGCAAAAGAAAGATGCTCCACCACACGGGCAGCAAACCCTTTAGACAAATTGCGTGGGAATTGGTATACATTCAAAACTAATTTCCTATTTATTTATAACTACTTTGTTTTTGAGTTTGATGTTGTACTCATTTGTATTAATATTTGAATAAGGGTGGCAAGTCAGGAAATCCACCTGATGTGGCAAAAATGTTTCATGAAACTCGAAAGAAAGCTAATGAAACACTAGAAAATGGGGATCAAGATAAATATGTAAGTAGAATATGTGTTTAAGTTTGATAATGATGCATTATATAGTACTAACATACGAATTTAATTTTTATAGGATGAAATTGTTCAAGTCAAACAAGCAAACCCTTCACTTTCTGACATTGAGATAGTTGAGAAAATCTGGGGGAAGCAATCTCATGGTCACATCACTGTATTTGGTGGCGGGACTACTTTGAAAGATTTGAGAGGACCGCTCCCTAGTCGATCTGATCTGGAAGCACGGGTTATAGAAGAAAAGAGAAAGAACCAGATGCTTCAACAACGCTTAGATGAGCAGGAGCAACAACAACAAAGGATGTCTGAGTTAATTTTTCAGGTTATCCATGCAAGATTAGGAGAGTGGGGTAGCTCGAGTCTTCTTTTGACGATGATTAGAGATGAAAGAATGTGTCTTCCCCAAACTTTTATTTTAATTTGTTTTAGATAGTTTCATGTATTTTTCTTTGGAACAATTAGAATATTAACTCTTATTATTAGAATTGAATATTTGAGGATGGTGGAATTTTATTTATTGATGTTATTAATGAATGGAATTTTTATTTTACCTCTTATTCATTATTGGGTATTTTTAATATATTTTTGTTGTGAATCTTAGTGTCTAGTTGAGAATAATATGATAGTTGCCTATGAATGGAAAATTTATTATTAATGTATATTAGAAATTTGTAGTCTACAATGACGGTTTTATAAACCGTATTTTGTTCATCAACGAAGGGAAAGCACTGTCGTTGATGGGTTACTAATTACCCATTATGAAGACTTTTACGACGGTATCCAACCGTCATTAATTAGTCTTCAACGATGGAAAAATATCCCCGTAACTAATGGTAATGACGGGAAAATATCCCCGTAACTAATGGTAACGACGGGAAAATATCCCGTTATTGATGGTAACTACGGGAAAATATCCCCGTTACTGATGGTAACGACGGTGATAATTACCATCGTAAATATTAATGACGTTAATATGTTCCGTCGTTATAGACTCTATAACGATGGGTAGTATATCCCTTCGTGACCCTTTAGCGAAGAGGGCTTCAACGATGGGTGACGAAGGGATTTTTCCCCGTTGTTAACATACAATAACTAAGGTTTTCAATGCTTTAACGAAGGGAAATCCCTTCGTCAAAGATGTAATTTCTTGTAGTGTCTATCTAGAATATAATAATGCACATGGGGTAAAGTCTAATGCGGTCTCATTACAGTATACCAACTAACACACCCTGAATGTAGTCCCCCACGGTCACGTTGCGGTGTGCCAACTATCCCACTCAGTAATGATGCACAACGAAGTGTAGTCTGCTGTGGTCTCTTGATGTACGGACCCGAACTTCATATTCAAGATTAACTCGCATATCAATCAAATAATAAACATAGTGCAACACAGATCAGTCAACCAAAAATGACTCTTCGGTCGACTGAAATATGTGTACAAATATGCACATGCAAATTAATAAGGATAGGTCGACCGACTCCTTCACTTCGGTCAACCGACTAGAGTACAAGTAGAATACATGTTTTAGTTTTCAGTTTTTGATCTACAATGCTAAAATTTGCTAATTTTCCATGAGACGCATAAAATAAATCTTATTTAATGTGATTAGGGTTTAGTTATCTACATGAAATACAAACATGATATCTAATTAAGTTGTCTAAACCCTAACATGTTCATATTCATCAAAAACATCATGGAAACCAATAAAACTCAATGAAAACTCATATTAAATTTTATTTCAAATCTTAAATTCACATTAGAGAATTTTTTATAACGTTTTAAAGCAAAAAGATCAAATCTTTATATCATATACCTTACGAGAACAATATTCATACTTAAACTAGGTTTAAGGCTCAATAAAAACCAAATAAAACTTAATAAAAATCAATTAAAAATGAGGATGGGATTAGAAGAGATGAAACTCGCCTAAAAACGCTACTAGAAAACCCAAGGATGCAAGAAAATAAGTTCTCCCTCGCCAAACACCGACAATCTCGCCCTCTTCTCGGTATTTGCTTCACAAAGCTCTCAAAATTCATCACAAATATACTCTAGAGTTTTTTAGGGGAGAGGGTAGCTGCTAGGGTTCACAAATCTAATATAAAAGAGAATTTGTAGGTGTTTTTATATATACATATATACGGGTAAACCCGAAACAAGCCAATCTAACCAAAACAGGAAACCCAGTCAGACTAAGAAAATAGTCTTTGGTATTTTGGCTGTAACATTTTCTTTTGACCTCGGAATAAGGTGCTTTAAAGATGCGTTGGAAATATATTGAAGAAACCTACAACTTTTATCTTTTGGGTTTTTTCAGATTCAAAATGCATCGGTGTGTAATGCATAGATACTCTTAATTGATCGTTTTTCCATATTCAAATTACATCGGTGTATAATGTATATATACTCTTAATTGGTCTCAAATCAATTACTATCATGCTCATTCATTATTAAATGATATTTATCATAATATAAATCATTTACTACTATTTACCCTAGTATTTTTCAAAAAAAATTTACGAGGTTTTACATAAACCAAACAATTGAACCTCAAAAAAACAAGAAGGATCTTCCAACCCTTTTGTTAAACAAATTGTCCTTTGATGAATATAAGCATAGCATGATGAAGAATAGTTAGATGATAAATTCAAGGCAACTCTCCTTTGCTGAAACAATTCAGAGATGTTATGCACGACAAGTAAGTGTTTATCGAGGCTACAGGTGTCAAATCCTTCAAAGAAATCTCTCACAAATTAAAATCTTGAACACTCTTCCCACTTCCCTCTCTCCCTCTCTCAATGATATAAACTCATCAATAGGTCAAGAAAGAGATATCTTATACTTGATAGAGATTAGACACATATATAAAACAATGAACACCTGAGATTAATTCTAAAAAACTGCACTTCTGCATGTTTAACATCGATGTTGCTTCTAAGCCATCAACGATGTCTAGGCTCCATCGATGGTTGAGAGTCCTATTAATGATACAAACATTTGTGGAATAAAAATTATTAATGATGTGCATATACCATCAATGAGCTCAACCTATCATCGATGGTTAAAGGCCACCATCGATAGTGAGGAGGTTGAAATAAGGATTTAAGCTTATTTTCACATATTTTCACCGTGTACACTTCTTATACATGTATTTGCTTATACTATATCATCTAAAATAAACAGTAGTACCATATGGTAGTTTTTTTACTTAAACAAGACCTACTGTATGGACTACATGATAACAATCTCCCCCTTTTGATAATAACAAACTTAAATATTAAAATACCGAAATACTCACATATTTGAGATATACAAATATCAATAATAAGCACAAATATACTCTTATGTAGAAAACAAATGATATGCAAAGCCCCCTACATTTATGTGTTCATAAAAAGTATAAGCAAGCACAAGTAAAACTCTCCCAAAAATAATACATCGAGTGTTTCAAAAGATAAAAAAAATCAAAATATGAAACCACTTAGACAAAGACTCATTGATGCACAAAAACATCAAATTTCACAAATTATCCAACTTTTTTATTAGCAAAAGTGGAAAACACACCAATAGATATATTATAGACAAGGCAAATTCACACATAAACCATCCCGGGAGAGAAAAGTGCATAGCTTCACACAAAAATTCATATAAAGATAGCACAAGAGATTAAAATTTAATGGCAACACACATGAATATAAGAGAAAGACATGTCAAGAAACACGCAAAAGATTAAATATTAGTGTAAAATGTGTGAAACAAATGGTGAAAAGACTTATACTAGTTCTCATTGTACAAAATAGGATATATCAAAGCCCAAATATTGAGCAATAATAAGACTTGAACTATCTCATCCTTCGAGATCAAGGAACAAAGTGTCGCCCTATCACGTCAAGCATATATGATTTAGGAGGAATAATGATATTTTTGGTGATACACAGTGCTTTTGAACATAAAATATATTTCGTACAAGATAGCTACCCTTTGAGATATGTACGAAAATAAATCCATGAGTGTGGTCTTTGACCAACTTTTAATGGGTACATTCAATTCTCGATGGATTTCATAAGAGTGTGGATCTTTCATCACCTTTTAGTGAATACACTCTTATTATTTGATTGATAGTTTAAATAAATACACTTTTGTACATATAATGATAAAAAATCGTGCATCCGCCAAGTCAAAAATGAGCTCAAAGACACTTTATTTGACTAAAAATATCTATAAACCAAATATAAGAATCTCTACCACTAATT